TAAAAAGGTGATTTCTGCATTTCTGACTGAACTCTGATATTTCCTTCTTTTGTCCAGATGCACAAATATAACAATTAACAAGTAAGCCCCATTTCCTGTTACATTACCAATAGGGTAGGTTTGTGAAACTTGACAGTTCTCTTGGACTTTCCTTGTTTAGTGGTTAAAACCATGGGTCCTAGCAGGAGAGCAGTCTGGAGTTGACTACTTGTTCCTATGTCACTTATTAGCTATTTGATCCTTCCCAAGTTATCTAAACTCTGTTAATCTCAGCTTGTTCTCTACTTCTTATAGTTATGGTACTTGAATAAAATAATGTGTTCAAATTTTCAGGACAGTGTTCACACATTCTAGGTGTTCTGTTAAGGAAGTAATTAATAATCAGAAAGCCTCTCTTTTGTTAATTTAAGCTTTTGTATTACTTATGTTAGGAGTCTAAAATGAAATGAGAAGTAGCATTTTTTAGTGTTTTATCCTTGGGTAATATTAAGTCAGGTCATTGTTTGCAGGATCAGGATATGCTAGCTGGGGTAAATGGGACTCTGGTTAAATATCATCACTATTACTCTTTGTTCTCTTTTGGCATCCATGAGGGATTGGTTGTAGAATACCCCTCCCCCTGTGAATATCAAAGTCTGCAAATGCCCAAGTTTCTTACATATTCAAAGAAACCTATACATATGCATAAACCTATACATATTGTCCTGATACTTTAAATCATCTCTTGATCATGGCGGCATTTGGAAACAGTGGCTAACATGCTCCTTGGGGCCCTGGAGCAGTAGTATAGTAGCTAAAATCCTTGCCTTGCATCAACCAGGACCCCATATGGGTGCTGGTTTGTATTCCAGCTGCTCCAATTCCAGCTCTCTGCTTGTGGCCTGGGAAAGTAGTCGAGGATAGCCCTAAGCCTTGGGACCATGCATCTGTGTGGGAGACCCAGGAGAAGCTGTTGGCTCCTGGCTTTAGATTGGCTCAGCACCTATTGTTGTGGCCATTAGAGGAGTGAACCCGTGGATGGAAGATCTTTCTGTCTCTCCTCTCTGTAAAGCCTGACTTTCCAAAAAAAAAAAAAAAAAAAAATTAAATCTTAAAGAAAAAAAGTGCCACTTGGGACACCACATATCATTTCAGAGAACCTGGGTTCAAGTTTATATTCACTTAAAGCAACATCAGCCACTGTGCATCCTAGGAGGCAGCAGGTGATAGTTCAAGTACTTGGGTCCCTGCTGGATATGTGGGAGTTGCCGATTAAGTTTTTGGTTTGGGCTCTGCACGTCCTAGCTGTTATAAGCAATTGGAGAGGGAACTAGTAGTTGGAAGAGCTCTCTCTGTCTTTCCCTGTCAAATAAGAAAGCAAAATTAAATCATTTCTTGATTACTTATAATAGTCAATGTAATGTAAGTACTGTTTAGACAGTTGCTATGCTGTATTGTTTAGGGAATAATGAAAGGAAAAGTAAGTCTGTATAAGTTTCATTCAGAAACTTTTTTTTTCCTGATATTTTTTATGGCAGTTGGGTTAATCCATGGCTGTGGAGCTGTAGGTACTGAGGGACAGTCAAACACTGCTCCCTGCTAAGGTACTCACTTTGCTTTTGACCCTGTTTTCCATTGCCAAACCTATAGTTACTGTAGGATAAGATACACTCTTACAGGGTAAGAGTGGGGCTGGTTGTTATACATATTCATTAGTGAATGGACTTTCCTGCGCTCAGCCGCAAATTTGAGAATTAGTCGCAGAATGCCTGCCTGGAGGACCAGGTTTAATGACTTCTGTCCCACTTTTTTTTTTTTTTTTTTTTTAACCTCCAGTCTTCTTATCTCCTACCCTTTCTTTTCTGAAAGATCAAGCAACTTGGGTGGTTGTCGTACTATACATTTAATCTCCAGGCCCCCTCACAAAATTTCACAAAGACTTCCTCTAGGCTCTTATCTGAAAGAATACCCTGCCAGGCAGCTATGGCACTCTTGCTTTGCAGTAGCACTCCAAGCACTGTATAGCTGCTGGGGCCATGCCTTTCTTTGGCTGAAGATTGGTTTCATTAACAAGCATGTTCACACTTCAACTGGAACATTTAAAGTAACACCCGCACAATGTGTTTAGTGTCTAGTTAATGATTAAGTCTCTGAGCTTAAATTATTCAAGCAAAATTGATTGGGTTCAGCCTTCTTCCTTCTCTTTGTACTTCTTTTTTATAAGTGAAAATAAAGTCTACCCACTACTCTCTAAATAATGTGGAAAGGGTAATTTTGTAACCATCCACAGCCTGGACAGTGGGTGGTACTCAAGTGCTAATGGAGGTAGAGAGAACCAGCAGCTTGAGTCTTTTGTTGAAAAATGTATCTGCATCTCATGTACTTCCATTGTTCATTGGCATTTATTGAGACCTAGCGTGGTTTAGCTTCTCTCTTTTAAACTTCTTGATATTCATGTATAAGTAACTAGGTATCTTGAATTCAGTCTTCAATATACCTTACTTGGAAAAGCAAAAGCAGTTGCTTTCTTTGCTAGTCTATCTCTGTCAAAATTGTTAAAATATGTTGACTTGACTGTTTAAAACCCCTAACTTTGAAGAGTGTCTATTGTCCTGAAAAGATATTTATAATATATTGTTGTTTGCTTCCCGAAGGCTATAAAACTATTCTACTACGTATCATCTTTGTTAAAATGAAGAGGAAAAAGAACATAAACTAAAATGCTGATTACTCTCTGTATTTCTATATTAGGATTTAATCCCTTTAAATTTTTGTATTACTTTTTAAAAGATTTTATTTTATTTTTATATATTTTTATTTTATATATTTTTATATACAGAGAGGAGAGACAGAGAGGAAGATCTTCCGTTTCAAAGTGGCTGCAATAGCCAGAGCTGTGCCGATCTGAAGCCAGGAACTCAGAGCCCCTTCCGGGTGTCCCATGTGGGTGCAGGGCCCCAAAGCTCTGGGCTGTCCTTGACTGCCTTCCCAGGCCACTAGCAGGGAGCTAGATGGGAAGCGGGACTGCTGGGATTAAAATTGGCACCCATATGGAATCCTGGCACGTGCAAGGTGAGGACTTTTGCCACTAGGCTACCGCGCCAGGCCCAGTTTTGGTATTACTTTTTATGGGATGGGCATTTGGCATACTGGTTAAGATGACACTTGAGACACCCCCCTATCCATTGTGAACTGCCTGGGTTTTAGTCCCAACCCATTCTGAAGCATATCCTGGTAGGCAGTGGAGCTGGCTGAAGTGGTTCTATCTTTGCCATCCATGCAGGAGACCTAGAATGAGTCTGGCATTTGGAAAATGAACCTATGAATGGAACATTTCCCTTTTTCTCAAGCAAAAAGCGAGAGCAAGAGTGTATGTGAGAGAGAGATACTGAGCGAAAGTGTTTTTCAAGGAGAGTGAGAGCATTTTTTTTTCTCTAGTTCAACCAGTCAGTGCTGAGCCAAGAACTTAATTCAGGTCTCCCATGTGCGTGGCAGGCACCTAATCACACCCTGCTTCTTAGAGTCCTCATTAGCAAGAAGTGGGAACAGGAGCTGGAGTTACAATTGAACCCAGACACTTGTTGCGGACTAGTGCCTTGTTCTAGCTCCATCACCTGACTGCCCTGTATTCCTTCTGTCATCAGACAACACACACACGTACGCACCATTCATTGCTGGAAATGATTCAGACCTTTTGTCTCAGTCTATCTAAATATTACTCATGTGTCAAGAGCACATTGACAACAATGCTGTCCTTATATAAGCCAGGCTATTAAAGACTTGGCAAGTAAAGACTTCACAGAAAAATCCACAATATTTTGGGAGTTGGAGCACCTCGAATAACCTCTGTGAGCCTTCATTTTTTAGATTTCGGTTGTAGTCCTTCAATTCTGTTTCTTCCTCAGCTTCCCTTTTACGGAGATCTGAAAAGATGCAGTAGTGGTTATTAACACCGAACACCTGTGTGAGAGTGGAATCAAACAATTGTATTTTGAAGGAAAGATTATAAAGGTGATGGCAATTTTGTGAGAAAATAACAGAAAGGCAATGACCCAGTTTAGAACTGTTAATTTAAACTTGGGCTTCTCCATGAAAATTTTGCGGAATGAAACAAAAAATGCACCATACACTTGTTAGTGTGCTGTGGACATCAGGTGCCATAGCTCTTGAGTGATTTCCCTTAGCGGGCCAGATTCGTGAATTGTGCCACTGGTTGCTGTGGATGTGGGGATGGATTGTGTGTGATGTTGGAATGGTATGGGTGAACCTGTCCTGACTAGAAAAGCTTAGGGAGAAATTGGGATTTTTTTTTTTTTTGAGTGAGCACACACACACCTCTTGACTGATGAGGGTTGAGAGTCGAGTCTTTGTGTCTGTCCCGGGAAATGACAAGAGTGTTGTGTTAGCTACGCAAGAAATGATGATTCTGGAGGGCGTGAGGAGCGAATCTGGGCAGCGGGTAGTGAACAGGTAAGAGTAGGAAGAAGCACTGGTCTTTTCCAGATCTGTTGGCAGCCCAGGGCCCGATGTTTCTGGGTGCCTTAGCAAGCATGCCAGGCAGGTGTTGTGTATTAGGACGAGGAAGACGCCCGATTTTGCGATCCCAAAGAGAAGCCTTGGGGAAAGCGGAGCCAGCGGCGAGGCGGTGGCGCAGTTCCCAGCCCGCGCCCTGCCGCAGCCCCCGCCGGCTCGGCCCGGTCATCCAGCCTCCGGGCCGCCTCCGGTCCTCCCGTATCCCTGCATTCCACGCTGCGGCAGCCGTAGCATCAAGGGCCCCGGCGGCTTCCATCGCTCCCATCAGGCTAGGGAAGCCGTCGCCGGCCCCCGGCCCGTGCCCCTCGGGGGGCTTCAGCCTGGGGCGGCCGCTCGACCCCGCCCGGCTCCCGACCGCCGGCCACAGCCGCTCCGCCGAGGGCGGGGAAAGGAGGGGAGGGGACGGTGTGTGTGAGAGGCTGTGTGTGTGTGTGTGTGTGTGTGAGAGAGTGTGCGCGCGCGCGTGAAGGGGGCGGGCGGGGGCCGCCATATTGGATCCGGACTCGTCCGCGAGCCTCCGTCTGCGTGCGGCGGTGACCGGGGGGGCCTCGCGGAGCCCAGAGCGCGGGCGCGAGAGGAGAGGAAAGGCGGGGGAGGCTGAGAGGGAGAGGAAGGGAGTGGTTGCGAGCCGGGCTGCGGCAGCCTCTGGTCATCTCACCAGCGGCAGCAACCCTCCTCCCGTGCCCGTGCCGCCTCCCTCTCTCCCAGGAAAGATGCCCTTAACCCAGGGGTGTGAAGAAGGGGGAGAAGTCGCTGCTGGAACCGCCCGTGCCGCCGCCGCCGCCCGTGTCCTTTGAATCCAGAAGAGCACCCCCGCCCCACCCCCCGCCGGGGGCGACGCGAGCCTCGGTGCGGGTGTGAGGGAGACCGGGCTCTGCGCCCGGCGCGGCCCACGAGCGACCACCGCCATGGAACGGGCTGGGCCGACCGAGTAGCCGCCGCTCCCCGAGCTCGGGTGCCAGAGCCGCCCGCAGCCCGCCTTTCCCACCTCCGGCCGCGCCGCGGGGTCAGGCCGCTGGGAGAAGCCGGGAGAAAAATGAAGAGTTTTCACCGGAATCTGTCGGAAATAGGACTAACTGCAAAGCCTTAAAAAAAAAAAAAAAAAAGAAGGATTAACGAAAAGCCTCCTCCAGGCTGGACTTGGCGTGTTCGGAGGCGAGGGGTTGCCTTTGGGACCTCGCCCCCCTTCCTTTCCCGCTGGAGAAGTCGCCGCGGATGCATTATCCAAGTGGTGGTTGAGCGCATTTGCAGCAGAATTTTTGTTTTTTCCCTCCCCCTACTATACATTCTGCTTTTCTCCCATCTCCTGTTTCTCACCCCCCCTTTTTTCCCTGGGAAGTGAATTGCTGATGCAAATGGGACTTTATTCATTAATGATGCAACCGGATTCGTTTCAGGATTATGTTGCACGAGTTGAATTTTGAATGAAGGAGAAGAGTTTTTTTTTTTTTTTAAAGAAGTGTTGATTCTTTATTCAATCTTTTAATTATTTTATTTAAATAGACGATTTATCTGTATTCTTTAAAGATGTATTAAATATTTTATGGCAGCCCTCCAAATAGATGTATATGGGTGAAATTGAAGACGCTTCAGTTAAGTGAGGTTCCGGTGTGTTGGATGTTTAATTCAACACCGGCATTGCATGACAGTTGTTTGAATAACAAGTGGTTTGTTGTTTTTTAAAAACCACACCTCTTCAAATTTAGGCACAAATAGTAACAGTCAAAAGGCAGCCTACGATTTGGAGGGCAGACCTGCAGAAATTGAAGCCAACATGTCTGGCGAAGTGCGTTTGAGGCAGTTGGAGCAGTTTATTTTGGATGGGCCGGCTCAGACCAATGGGCAGTGCTTCAGCGTGGAGACCTTGCTGGATATACTCATCTGCCTGTATGATGAATGCAATAATTCTCCACTGAGAAGAGAGAAGAACATTCTTGAATACTTAGAATGGGGTAAGTGTGGTTACGGAAAAAAAAAATCTCAACCGCTAACTGGGCGTTGTGATTTAATTGTTACGGAGTTATGAGTAAAGTGTAATGAAAGAAGTGGTATGTCTTGACAATGGAAAATGTTCCCCCCCCCCTCCAGGTTTTGGTAAATGTTCCCAGAGTTAAACCCGTGCGGTTTAGTTGTTGCTTTAATATGGAACTTAGAAGGAAGAGCTTGGATTTTTAGGTCGGTGAAGAGGTTTTCAAATAAATTCTGTGATGGGCCAAGATGGGCTTTTCCTCCCTGTTGCCTAATGCACAGCAGTGTGGCAGCCAGCCGTTCAGTGGGAAGGTAGTTGATGGGAAGCGGCATTCCTTCCCAGACTTGGGAATCTCTGGGCGATAGGAGATTCGAAAATACATGTGTTCACCTGAGCTGAAAAGGAACGTGGGTTAGTTCATCTCTCACAGTGTGTGTAAAGGAAACCGGTAGACCTGAACTTTTCCAAAGGTTATGTTTATAAGGCAAAGTGACATCAGCATTTAAAAATGTTTGTGACAGCGGTTAGTGGAGACGATTTTGCAGCAGCTTCTAGATTTTTCAGTTTAGATTTCACTTTGAATAGAATATTACTCTCAGCTGGTGAGAGTTTGGGCTTCGTTCTGGGGAACGTTGTGATTGAGAAAACCTGCTGTAGTGGCTAGGTGAGGGGTGCGAGCGAATGCGGCATGTGACCTTCTAGCTGCGAGGCTTGGCTGGAGTTCACGCTCCCGAGGTTGTCAGGGCCGGCGGGCGCACTCTGACGGCCAGCAGCGGCCGGAGGCTGAAGTGCACACCGGCGGCCACACGTAGCCTTCGGAGGATTTTGGCCAAATGGTCTTTTGTACCTTTGGAATGCTAATCATTTTAGTTGGTTGCAAAGTTTTTACCCTAAGATATCTATTCGCGAGTAAAGCTTTATTTTCATAATGTAAAAGTGAAGTACGGGTTGTCTTCTCTCTCTCTTTTGATTTGGAATTTAGTGGAACTTCAGCCTTCCGGGTAAAGCAGTGGCTTAAGAATGCCAACGCATAATAAACTTTAGTCACCTGGTCAGCATCAGAAGATTTCTTGCAACATGCTGTCATGAGGTTTTAAAATGTGAATAGGATGTTCAAAAACAGACGACCTGACTCATCTTGGGAATGTACAAAATGTAAACCATCTTCCAAGTGATGGTTCTGACTTTGTTAGTAGCTTGTAGGTACATAAATACCTTATTTTTACGAGAGGGTAAAGCATTTTGTAAAGCATGTGTAGTTTTACATTCGATGCCTCATAAATTTAAAAAAAACCTTGACAAAGATGGACTTACAACGAAACTGTTCACTGTATCTTGACAATAGGATGCTGGACTCTCTGCCATTGTCAATGTCCACAATGATGGACTGTGTATGAAGAACTATGTTAGTAATGATATAAAGGAACTAGGTTGCGGGGGAGGGATTTGGGGAGGGGATAAAGGAAATGCCAGGAGCCTATGAAACTATCATAAAATAATAATAATACAATAAAAAAAAGAAACTTAAAGGTTTTTGTACTTTTTAGAGTTGACGTTAGAGTTCATCATTATGGTCTGTAGTGAATCTTCAGTGATTATGATTGTCATTTATTAGCCTTTTCTCATCTGCCAACGCTGTACTGGTGCTATTTGTGCCAGCAGCAAATACAGTTAAAAATGATTTATTATAGAAGAGAAGATGATTTTCTGTTGTCTTGTAGTTAGAATTCAAACTGTAATTTTGTGCTATATTTTGCCATATTAGAGGAATGCTTTATATTTTCATTAATTTTTTCTTAGATGTTTCTTCTGTATGTGTAAAAATGCTTTATTTATATGTTTGTGTATTTTAGCCAAATTAGCCCAAAATCAAGTAAATAGACATACACATTTTCATTGATATTTTAAAAGTAATTTCAAACCAGGAACTTCTTACAGATTGTTTTAGCAGGACCCTTCTCATTTTGTCTTTACAAAAGTTTGCTGTATGAGAAACAAATATACACTTTCTTAAGTAAACTGTTGATTTGTGCTAATAGGAAACAAAATAGAATTCTGAAGGAATTGTACGTTTTGGGACAGGGCGGGGTCTGTTGTGTCTTAGCATTTTTAAGTTGGTGTATGAGGTTTTGAAAGCAGGGATTATTATTCACTGAAGTTTCTTTAAAGAGTTAATGGAAAAGTTAAAAGTGGGAAAATTGTCAAGATTTGTATCATGAGTAGTAGTATTTACTATCTAAGTTATTAGAGTTTTTAAGTATTGAAATAGATCAGCTGTTATTTGTGTGTGTACTGATTGCTATATTTTTTGGGGAAATGCCCTGTTTGTACTCATTGCCAAACATCTAAACACAGTCTAGAGTAAAGAAGTATCCACATTGTGAGTTGACCTCAGTTAAATTTTTTAAACTTTTTTTTGGTTTCTGATGCAACTTTATAAATCATTTTTGATTTGACTGTTAAATTAAAAAAATTGGTCTTGTACTTAAATCTTTTAAAGACCCAAATTTGCAGCTGAAAGTACTATATTATATACTACGTATTTTTGGTTTTTTTTTTTTTTTGGTTCTGTTACTGAAAGTATCATTTAGATAGTCCCTATTTTTGTGTTGGCAAAGTGTTACTTTTTTTTTTTATTAAAGATTTTTGTTGAAAGAATGATGACAGAAAGGGAGGTAGTGGAAAGGAGAGGAAAAGGGAGAGAGAGAGAATGGGGGAAGGAGAGAGAGAACACTTGAGAGAATGAGAATGTCTGTCTTCCATCTGCTGGCTCACTCCCAAATGGCTTTACAGCCTGCTCTGAGCCCAGGCCCAAGCCAGAAGACTGGAACTCCTTCTTGGTCTCCCACCTGGGTGGCTGGGCTCCATGCACTTCGGCCATCCTCTCTGCTGCTTTGCCAGGTGCATTAGCAAGGAAAAGGATTGGAAGCCAAGTAGGTAGTACTGAGACAGTAGCTTAAATGTGGGACTCCAGCCTTGCATCAGTTTAACCTGCTCTGCAATTCTGGCCCTGATAGCTTACTCTTTAAAGCCAAGATTCAGCATTGCTTCATTTCCATCAACATCATTTTACTCCTAGTTTTTGTTAGGTCCATCCCACATTTTAATTGGTTCAGTTAATGCTTTGTTTTTAATATCATCAAGACAATAAGAAACTGACAATTTGGAACATACCTACTTTTGTTCATGCACAGCATTGCCTGCTTTTGGTGTTGGTGACTTAGGTGAAGAAGGCGCTTAAGCCAGTGAGCAATAGAGCAAGTGATGAAAATGATATGATCACATATCAACTTTGAACTTAGTAATATATTTTATTTTCCCATAGCGTAACTTAAGAATAAGTTTTGATAGAGTTGTAGAAGTGAAGTGAATTTTTACAACTTGCTAGTATTGATTATCAAGTACATTATCCGTTGAATTGGCTCTCATTTGAAATTAGAAATTTGGGGGGCATCTAACAATTTACTTAAAAAGTGAATGTGAGATGACAGCCTCCATATTTCTGTCATACTCATTAGTATCTGTGAATAATGATACTTTCTGAACCTTTTACTTTGCAACATTTCATTTAAGTAATTCTGTGGTTTCTTCAATTTGTGTATATATAAATATATATAGAAAGAATGGTTGCCAGAATGTATCAGCATGTAGTATGACTTAAACGTTCTTTTATTAGTTTTGATTCTAAATTTGTTTTTTAAAATTATTTTTTAAAAATTTCATTATTATTATTATCATTTTATGATACAGTTCCATAGGCTCCTGGTATTTCCCTAATCCCAGCCCAATTCCCCCTGCCCCACCTAGTTCCTCTATATCATTACTAAAGTATAGTTCTTCATACACAGTTATATGTCCATCATTGCGGGCATGGACAATGGCAGAGAGTCCAGCATCCTGTCAAGACATTGATTTTGAATTTGTGTTGTTTCCTGTATGGATTGTTTAATTCAGCAGATACTTGGCTCAGAAGGATTGAATATTTTCTGGAATGTTTCATTTTTTGCATCTATTCTTCATTGTTAGCTTTTCTTGATTAGAATCTGTTAATCATGCTAAATTATTCCCATCCAGCTCCCTGGTTGTGGTCTGGGAAAGCATTCGAGGATGGCCCAAAGCCTTGGGACCCTGCACCCACTTAGGAGACCCGAAAGAAGCTGTTGGCTCCTGGCTTTGGATTGGCTCAGCTCCAGCCATTATGGCCACTTGGGGAGTGAACCAATGGATAGAGGATCTTTCTCTCTATTATCTTGTTCTCTCTGTATATTTGCCTTTCCAATTAAAAATTAAATTAAAAAAATGAAATAGAAAATATATGTTTGAAGGCAGAGAGATCATCCAACTGCTGGTTTACTCTCCAAATGGCCACAGCCATCAGGGCTGGGTGAGGGTGGGTCAAGAGCCAGGAGCTTCCTCCAGATCTGTCAAGTGCATGCTAGGGATCCTGGGGCCCCAGGGACATAGGCGATCTTCACTGCTTTCTCACTTGGCTCTGCCCTGCCAGGCCGAAGCCAGGAGCTTCTCTCTGGTCTTCTACATGGGTGCAGGGACTCAAGCCTTTTGGGCAGGGTTTAAACCCACTAAGCTACACTGCTCACCCCTAGGATTTTTCTTTTTAATGATGAATTATGATTGCATTTTAAAGCTCATTTCCCATTAGTTTTTATAAGGTTTGTATTCTGCTTAGCCTTATGGTTAAGAAAGAACTAAAATGTCTTTTTTTTTTTTTTTGGCAAAGTTTAATTGAAATATATCAGTGTACTGTTACTCCAAGGATATAAATAATTTTATTTTGCCATTAATAAACATGTTTTTGGAAACACTTTATTAAATTGACTTTAGAGATTTTTCTTCTGTGAGACCATACAAATAATCTTTTTCTTTTAGAATAAAATACTTTACATTGAAACATTTTGTTAGCTGAACTATTTTTTGGTAAATCTTAATGTCCATTTTTCTACCAATAGTAAATATAATGAAGTG